ACTTTATTATTAGACTTTTTTAGTTAAAAACAATAAAATTAAAATAAAAAATTTTTAAATATATTATTTCTCTTTATTGTTTTAGAGATAATGGTGTACACTTTTTTTTTTTAGAGATTATTCTCTAATTCTTCTCTTTGCTGTTGCGAACACGATTAAAGAGTCGAAATGACTTGATCTTCAATATAATTCAACGATTGAAGTGACTTGATGTTGAATTGATCTTGACGTTGAATTGATAATGAATGAACTTTGGATGATTCAAGGTCGAAGAGTCTTGATTTTGAATTGGAGTTGAAAGAACTTTGATTTTTTGGACTTGTGAGAGAGCTTTTGTAGTTTTTGAATTTGACAGAGCTTTCAAGCATTTTTTTTATCTTTCTCTCTTTATGTGTTTATGTGTGTCTTCCTATGTGAAGAGAGACCTCCTCTTTATAGATATTTGAGGAAGTCCCCTTGCCAAGTATGTAATTTATTTGGTTCACTTGGCAAGCTCTCATTGGCTACTGCTGCATTATTTAGCTTAAGTGGACGCCTCACTTATTCACCAAAATTTAATTTAATTGGTCTACTTGGCCAATTTTTATTGGACTTTACTATATTATATATTTATGCAGTAAATAATATTTATCCAATAGTTTTATTTTAATAACTATTTAAATATTTTGATTGGTTATTAAAGTAAATTATTTAATTTAATTAACTAAGAATTTAATTGGCTAATTTAATAATTAAGATAATAATTAAATTAACTTAAATAAAATTTAGGTGTCTATACTCTCTTCTTATTTAATATTTTATTCTTTTTTTTTTGAAATTTATGAAATTTTATTTAATTTTTCTATGATTTAATTGGATGTATTTTTAAAAATAATTTTTAAAATAAATATATACAATTAAACTTAAAATAAACACTCTCTCGCTCGCTCCTATACTCTTTCTTTATTATATTTTATTTCTTTTTTTTTTAAATTCTATGAAATTTATTAATTTTTCTATGATTAATTGGATGTATTTTTTAAAATAATAATTTTTAAAATAACATATAAAAGATAATATAGACTTCCTGCACGCTCTTTCTCACACTCTCTCTCTACACACATATTTTATAAATATTATAAGGACGTTCTCGACTCTCTCTCACACTCTCACTCACTCGATGAGAGATGATCTTCTGTTACCATTACTCTCACTCTCATCTTGCCACTCTCACTCGATTTAATTGGATGTATTTTTAAAAATAATTTTTAAAATAAATATAAAGATAATTAGACCTTTGAAGTTTTAATTTTTTAAATATTTTTATAAATATATAGGAGTTTGAAATTTTTGAATCTAATAAACTTGAGAGAGATGATCTTCTATTACCAGTATTATTATTTGCGCATTGATTTTTAATTTACATATGCACATTTATTTATGTCAGTTTCAAGCCTTTTTAGCAAAGAAAAAATTTTAAAACAATTAGAATAAAAAGAGTTGCATGTTGAATATAAAATTAGATATTGCAAAAATTTTAGTTACCTCTAAATATATATTAACGAGTAATAATAGTCTTTTTCCTCAATGAGTTTGATTTTTTATTCATTTTTTTTGAAATAGTAGTCCTTTTATTTTTTATTTTATAAAGTATATTAATTAAAAGGGAGAAAAGTATTTGATATAGTTAATTTTAAATGAGTAAAAATACATGTCAATTTTTATTTTTTTAATCAAAATAAATAGTAATGTAATTTAATAACAAAATTTATTTAAATAATATATTTATGCTCACACCTGATATGTAGAATTATGAGTACAATCTTAGATATTGTTATTATATTTAAAATAGGCATTTGAAATAAAATTAAACTCAAAAGTAAATTTAAATTAAAGAGATGAAAATGTGCTAAGCATTTATATAGGGTGAGCATTCACCAATTTGGTCGGTTTGAGTAAAATTTTTAATCGAAATTAATTAACCAAAAATTTTTTTAACTTAAATGAATTTAACCGAATTAATTTTTTAATTGAACTTAACTGAACCGATTTAACCAAATTAATTTTGATCGTTACCGAATCGAAGTTGAAGAAAATGAAAATTTAATTAACTGAAAGTTATGATTAACCGACTTTAATTGAAATAAAAATAAATCGAAAGTTATTAATCACAATTTAAACAAAATTAAAATTGAAATATTTTTAATTTTTAATTTTATTATCTGCTTAATCAAAACAACATAGTTTTAAGAATCGGTTAATTTGATTAATTCAGTTAAATTAAGTTTTAATCGAACTTGTAACCGATAATCGAAATTTTAATTTTCTTTAACCGAATTTTTAACCGAACATATATTCACCAAACCAAATTGGCTGAATTAACTGAATGCTCACCCCCACATTTATACTCTATAAACTCAAAAAAAAAAAGAGCACAAATCTAATTTAGGTAATGATCATTAATCTAATGTTTTCTATATTATAGTGGACTAGTACTTTAAAATAATATAAATGAAAATTGCAATTTTTTAGAGTTTAAAAAAAAGAAAAATATTATTTTAAAGGGAGAAGTAGAAATATAATTATCTTTCCAATTACATGTCAGATTGCAATATGTATAACAAAAAAAAAAAAAAAAAATTATTGTATGAATAAAATGCAATATGAATCGGTCATTATATTTATGTTCTAAATAAAAACGGTATTTATTTATGTTCTAAAAAAAAAAAAAAAAAATTATTGTATGAATAAAATGCAATATGAATCGGTCATTATATTTATGTTCTAAATAAAAACTTATACTTTAATATTATATGAATACAAAATTAAACAAATTAAAATGAATGTATAACTAGTAAAGTCAACGTGTTCACACTTTATAAAATAACTGGTATATATATATATATATATATAACCTAAAGCATATTTGATTACCGGAGCTTATTTTCACTCACAGTCCCTCAATATAGACTCTATTTTTTAATTGTCCCTGTACCTTCAATTCGTTCCTTAAGAATAATTGAACTGCTATTTTAGTAAAACAAAAATTCATTTATCAGTTTTTCAGTCAACTTCCTCTAAAAAGTGTTTAATAAATAATTGTTAGTAAATGCTGCATCATAAATGTTTTCTTTTTCTCTCCTACATTTTTTCTCTCCTACATTTTTTCTCTCTTGCCCGTAAAAAGGAGAAAATACCCTCTCTTGCCCACAAAATTCATCCAACACAACATTATCTATATATATGGAAATTTTCATTTCATTCTTTGTGATAATTTTTTTTTTTTTTTGCAAATTTTTATTTTTATTTGGTAAAGTACTACTTAATCTGTGAGTTTCTTGTACTCATTTTGAATTGAATCTACCCATTTAATATTTCTTCAAAAATAATAAACTGAATGTTTCGTCGTACTACAAAATGGTATTGATATTTGGAATCGTAACCACCAGTTTTCGTTGCTGTAGCTCGCCTAAGAAGACGAACTTGATCGGAGTAAAAAACCGAATCATTGTTGCAAGTGAAAGAGAGAGAGGCAAAGGAGAGAGAAACTAGAATTAAACTGGAGATATAGAAAATCAAAGGCCGTCGAAGAGATAATAAAACATTAAAAAGGATTAATGTGGTACTTTAAAAATAATTATTATTGACCGTTAGATTCCACGTCAGCAAAACTAGTAACTAGACTTTTGTGTTGCTCATAGTAGTTAAGCATTTTTAAGTAATGAATTGAAGTACAGGACAATTAAGAAATATTTAGTATATTTTATGTAGACCAATTATTTAAGTAATGAATTGAAGTACAGGACAATTAAGAAATATTTAGTATATTTTATGTAGACCAATTAAAATAAGCCTGATGCTCTTGCTTGCTTGGTTGGAAATTTTTTTTTCTTATTTAAAAGAAACTAATTTTTTTAATACCATAGATAGACTTTGATGGAGTGAAATCAATGTCATTAATAATATTAAATAATATTTTATAATTATCATTGATTAATAAAAATTAATACTGTTACTAATATTTAAAAAAAATTTCAACTTCTTTTTTTAAATAAATAATAAAACGTTTTAATTGTTTTAATAATTAATGAATTTTTTTATTTTCAATATTATGGAGGTGATATTAATGGTGTTTTTCAGTTTTTTAATTATTAATAAATTAATCTTATCATTAATATTTTTTTAAAGTAGTAAAACTTTTGAGTGTCTTTTTATAATAATTAATTAAATTAATAGTGTTATTAATATTTTTTAAATGAGAAAATAAAATGATAATATAATTTAATCTTTTTTTCTAATAAACATTATTTTTTAATATTTTTCTAAAATAAAAAGAGAAATTATATACAGATTATCTTACAAGTCTCTAATTTCTAATTTATTAATAAAAAATTAGGCGCCTAACTTTAAACATATATCCAATTAGATAATAAATAAATCAAATTAAATAAAAAATATATTATATATATTTATACTTATATTAAATCCGAACTCCCTAAGGATCTCAAGAAGACGTGGTCTCCACACTTGAGAAAGTATAAAAAGGAGATCATTCATAACTCGTCTCAAAATTGGCGCTCCCTTCAATCCAAACCCGCGCAGTATCCTCTCCGTCCTTAATTTTAATGTTGCCCTAACTCCAACTGGCTTAATCCTTAAATTGCTCACTTTCTCGCCGACGTTGTCAGCTTCAATCCCGATTGTCAGTAAGCTAAACCAAGTTTGGGTGATATTGTTCGGCAACAATTGAAGCGGTTGGGTGATATTGATTGGCAACAATTGAAGTGGTTCTGACTTTGATAATAGACAATTGAGACTTCTTAAGGTATGGGTGTTTCTCGTTTGGCTATTCTCAATTTCTTGTGTTTGATTTTGTTCATATTGCGGTTGTTGCGGAAGTGTTGAAGTTTTGTGCTATTTGAACCTTTTTTTTTTCTTTGGCTTTTTGCTGTTTTCTCAATTTCTTGTGTTTGATTTTGTTCATATTGCGGTTGTTGCGGAAGTGTTGAAGTTTTGTGCTATTTAAACCTTTTTTTTTTTCTTTGGCTTTTTGCTGTTACTTAAATGGGTTTTTGATGAAATATAAATCCTTTGCTATGTGTTTAAATCTAGTGGTTATAAAACCATTCAAATATGGGTAAAGTCAGAGCATTTTAACGATGAAATATTCATGTGTTGAACTAGTATTCAATTATTTCTTCCCGCAAGGATTGCTTATTAAGCATAGGTTATTCAAACTTCTACAGGTTGAAGAAATAATGGATGAAACATTGCTTCTTCCTGGACAGGTTGAAGAAATAATGGATGAAACATTGCTTCTTCCTGGGTACAGATTCATTCCGAACGACAAGGAACTTTACGTCGACTATCTTTACCCGAAAATCACCGGTCAATTGTCGCCGGTATTGCAGAGAATAGTACCCGACTGTGATTTGTATGGCACCGAAGAACCTTGGATGGTTTGGAAGCGTTTTGGCGGAGATGAATTGGGTGGCCTCGGAGATCTCTATTTCTTTACCAAGCTCAAGAAAACAAACCCTAGATCATCAAGAGTTGAAAGATCGGTTGGTAAAGGCACTTGGCATGGAGAAAATACTGGAGTTCCACTTCTGCTCGAAGAAATTGGACAGACCGGAATGAAGAGAAGGTTTTGTTATAGGAGTAAAACTTTGTCTAAGCAACAACAAGAAGGGCACTTTATAATGCATGAGTACAGTTTTCCTAATATAAAATCTAATTTGGTTTTGTGTAGTTTAAGAAAGAAAGACGCCTTTTCTGTTTCTTCTCCTGGAAGTAAGAAGAGAAAACTTGATGAAGAAGGGGTTGAAAATAGTTTGGTTATGGAGCGAGATGGAAGCATTCATTCCAAGAAGAGAAAGAAACTTCATTGAAAGATAGGGGTGTTGCTTGTGAATGTTTTATTATCCAATGACACAAATGGGAATTTCAATATGTGTTTTATCCATGGAGAGTCTCCTGGATATCCACCAAAGTTCAAATGGTGATGATGGAGGTTCATTTCTGGACTTTCATAATGGTTAGCTGCTGCTGAATCTGCAGGGTTCTGGCAGGAGACCGGAACAAGCTCAATTTGAAGGATTGGGGATGGCATGGGATGAAGAAGGTTTGGATTGCTAAACCTTGGACTTCTTTATTCAGATGTACATTTAGAAAAATAGTTGAGTTGAGGAATTAATGAAGTATCTTTAACATATATCAATAGCCATTCGTAAAATTTCATATTAATACTCCATATGCTAACAGGACTTACCACGTAACATTCTGTTTGGTCCTGTTTTCTACTTTTTTTTTTTTGGTTAATTAGGTAGAAGGAACCTTTTTTTAGTCGTTGCAGCTTACTATTTTAGAGCCACTTTATGATTAATGGCTTTTCCAATATTCTGCATTAAATTCAAACTGACAATTAAAGTTTTGACTTTACTGGGTTCAAGAAAGATCAAGACGTAGAGTCTAGGTAGGTGGTTCTATAGAGTGAAACTTACAAAGTGACCAAGGATTAAGTTTGTGAGAAGAATGTAGGTAAAATATACTATTCTTGCTTTGATCTGTATGTTTTAATCTTGTCAATACTTTCCCGTTGACTTGTTCTTAAATGTGTATATTGAGACTGATTAAGATAATTTGGAATTTATAAAGTATTAGTGAGATCATTTGAGTTCAATCACTAAGCAAAATGATGCGAGATAGAGCTTTGATGCTTGAAGCACTGTTAAGAGCAAGGTGTGATTTAGTAAAGATGTTGAATTGTGTTTGTATTAATTGAAGCCACTTAGATGAAGCCACTTAGATGTTTAACAAATAAAATGGGTGTTTGCTTCTGGTTTCTGGCAGTTATACTTGTTATTATCAGTGGATTGGGAAATTCAAATTTATAGGATTTCCTTTTCCAACTAAACTTCAGAGTAAGACTTGTTTAAGGTGTTCACATGCATTGAATCAAACACAATGAATATCTAGACACCTTCTCAGTTTTGTGAGAGTGTCTTTAATGTATTACTAATTTTGTGATCAAATTTTCTTATAATATCTTTGCTGCACCCTGCCATTGGAATTTTGCTTCTCAAGTTTTTCTCTGCTCAACAGGGAAACAAGACAGACATTAGTCATTTGCAGTTATGATGACCATTTTTTTGTGAGCTTTAGGATGCTCTTGCTCCTGTAAATTGTTAAAATATGGAGTTAGAAACTGAAGATAGAAGCATTTCTGTCGAAGTCTCAAAAGTCTTCTAGTATTGCATTCCATAGAAGCCTAATACAAGCATCTATACATCACAAAATTGATGCATGATGATATCTTTGAGTAAAGAAAAAAAGAAATTAGGAGAAAAAAAAGAAAAGTGATTAGACAAAAAGAAAATGCCGGAAGTACACGAATAGAATATCTTTATATCAGGCCGTGACAAAAAATATAGGGGCCAACCACATGTAAGAACTGAAACTGAAATATAATTCATTTGGGTTAAATTATCATATACGAATAGCCAATGGCAAACCACCATTATAGAAATATAATTCTTGAAGAGAGATAGGGGCAGATAGAAGTAAAACCAATAGCTTTAATAGACAGGGAAATAGCCTCACTCAAGTATAAAAATAGCCACCATAACAGCAACGATCAACCCAAATACAACTGAAGAAATTCTCTAAACTGATCAACAAGGCATCAGTATCACTCTAACTAATCTATCCATTTATATAATTCTTGAGGCAGTAGAGTAAAACCATAGCTCTAATGAGGAATAGCTCATCAAGTATAAAATGCCAATAAGCAGACGACAACCAATACCCTGAGGCATCTCTCTGTCCAGGCATCAGTTCTCTACTATCTATGGAGTTCTCTTTATGACTTCTTCAAGTAAGTTTCCGAGGAGCGTGGCTATCAGTTCTCAATTTCTTGTGTTTGATTTTGTTCATATTGCGGTTGTTGCGGAAGTGTTGAAGTTTTGTGCTATTTAAACTTTTTTTTTTTTTGGTTCTTTTTGGGTTTTTGCTGTTACTTAAATGGGTTCTTGATGAAATATAAATCCTTTGCTATATGTTTAAATCTAGTGGTTATAAAACCATTCAAATTTGGGTAAAGTCAGAGCATTTTAACGATGAAATATTCATGTGTTGAACTAGTATTCAATTATTTCTTCCCGAAAGGATTGCTCATTAAGCATAGGTTATTCAAACTTCTACAGGTTGAAGAAATAATGGATGAAACATTGCTTCTTCCTGGATACTGATAGGTCCCAGTCAAAGCCAAAGGAAATAGATTAAGTGAATAAGAAGATTTTTGGATATTTTTCATTCCTTTTTTGCTGCAGCTACAATGAATTTAAATAAGAAAAGAAGTCAACTGTTTATTCCTATTCTAATGGCAACAATCGGCACTTATGTAGCATCATGACTAAGTAAACAACATTTAAAAAGAAAAATAATTGCAGCAAAATAAATATAGCAATAGAATTAATCTAAATACTTTTTATTCCTGATGACCACCCTTGTTGACTGTCGTGGTGGTCTATCATTGCTTCTCCCATTGAGAGGAACCTTGTCCTGAAGGTTCAATGATGGAAATCGTGCGTGCAGATCTGCAGAAAGTTCCCAGGTGGCATCCTCAGGGGGCAAATTTTTCCACTGAACCAGATTTTCTTCAATAAAGTGAGAGCCGCTTCGAACCCATCGAGTATCTAACACTGCTTCGGGCTCCAGTACAGCAAAACCATCATCAGTGAGATTAGGCAAGTCCAAAGACACAGGAACAGCAGCTCCAACATGTTTTTTCAAAAGCGAAACATGAAATACAGGGTGAACTTTGGAACCAGAAGGCAACTGTAACTTGTAAGCCAATTTCCCAATTTTTTCTTCTACCCGAAATGGTCCATAAAAACGACTAGCCAGCTTTTGAAAGGCATGTTTGTATACAGAATGCTGTTTTTAAGGCCGCAACTTAAGGTAAACAAGATCACCCACCTGGAACTCAACATCTCACCTCTTTAAATCTGCAGTTTGTTTCATCTTATGAGCAGCCTGTGCAAGATGAAGTTTCAAATCCTGTAATATCTCATCCCGCGTAACTAATGTCTGATCAACTTCATGAACTGGAGATTGATCCAATTCATAACGAGGTATCATAGGAGGATGTCTTCCATACAAAGCCAAAAAAGGGGACATACCAATTGATATGTGAAAAGATGTATTATACCAAAACTCAGCCCAAGGCAAGAACGAACTCCATTTGCGTGGCCGTTGAGATGCAAAACAGCGTAGGTACTGCTCCAGACATCTGTTGGTGACCTCAGATTGACCGTTAGTGATGCAAAACATCGTAGGTACTGCTCCAGACATCTGTTGGTAAACATGTGGGTACTGCTCACAAGACATCTGTTGGAAATGACCTCAGGATTGACCGTCAGTTTCCGGATGATAAGAAGAGCTCAATATGTAAATTGAGAAGTACCGGAACAATTTTGAAGACTCTCGCCCAAAGAAGTGGGCTTGATAAAATTGGATCGGACGGTCACTATAATAGATTTGGGCTGCCATATAGTAATTTCACAACACCATCCACAAAACTTACTCGCAACAATTTGGCAGAATCAAGGCATGACGTAGATAATTAGGAAAGAGTTGTGACATACTTACTATAAGACGATTCAACACACCAACCAAAAATTGAATTTTTACCCAGGGCAAGATCGAGGAAGTCAATCAATAGGAAATACCCATGCGTACTGCTCCAGACATCTGTTGGTGACCTCAGATTGACCGTTAGTGATGCAAAACATCGTAGGTACTGCTCCAGACATCTGTTGGTGACCTCAGATTGACCGTTAGTGATGCAAAACATCGTAGGTACTGCTCCAGACATCTGTTGGTGACCTCGGATTGACCGTCAGTTTCCGGATGATAAGAAGAGCTCATATGTAATTGAGTACCGGACAATTTGAAGAACTCTCGCCAAAAGTGGCTTATAAAAATTGGATCACGGTCACTAATAATAGATTTGGGCATGCCATGGTATTTCACAACACCATCCACAAACTTCTCAGCAACAATTTTGGCAGAATAAGGATGAGATAATGGCAAGAAGTGTGCATACTTACTTAAACGATCAACCACCACCAAAATTGAATTTTTACCACAGGAAGATGGAAGTCCATCAATGAAATCCATTGTGATATTGTCCCAAACCTGGTGGGGAATGGGTAATGGTTGAAGAAGACCCGCCGGCGAGGAAGTTGATGCTTTGTTCTTCTGACAAACTGAACAAGCCGCAACATATTGTTGGATCTGATGTTTCATCGAAGGCCAATAAAACTGCTGAGCAAGTCTTTTGTAGGTGCGCAATACCCCAGAATGGCCGCCACATGGAGAATCATGAAACTCCTGTAAAAGATTAGTAGTCAAGTCAGATTGAGGGGAAATTACCACTCGATTTTTGTAAAAAAGTAAGCCATTCTTCGACGAATATGGTTCACCAGGCTTCTCTGCAGCCAATTTTCCCACTTTTAACATATATGGATCTGTGGGCATAGTAGCTCGAATCTGATCCCATAGGGAAGAATGAGGAAGGAAGAGAGCATGTAGACTGGGGCTGCCACTCACACGAGACAAGGCATCTGCCACTTTATTTTCCTTGCCCGGCTTGTAAATGACTTCATAATCATAAACCAGCAATTTGGACACCCAATTTTGCTGTTCGGAGTGACAACTCGCTGTTCCACCATGTACTTAAGGCTGCGTTGGTCCGTTTGAATGTAAAATTTACGGCCAAGCAAGTAAGGACGCGAAGTACGAATAGCTTGAAGGATGGCCAACATCTCTTTGGCATATGTAGACCAAGACTGCTTAGAAACTCCCAAGGGACGACTCATGAACGCAA